CGTCCCTGGAGGTATTTAAAAGACGGGTAGATGAGGCGCTTAGGGACATGGTTTAGTGGGCATGGTGGTGTTGGGTTGACGGTTGGACTCGATGATCTTAGAGGTCTTTTCCAACTTTAATGATTCTATGATTCTATGAAAGGGAAACACATCGCTACTTTGGAAATTCCCACGCTGCATCAAAATGCAACGCTCCATACAAAGATATTAAAACCTTTAGATGCTTCTAGTAAAGTTACACCTATCACTGGATGCTCCAGGCTTGCCCAAGCCACTGTTTATTGTGTGAAGTACATCTATGTTCATATAAGTCAGCATGAGAGAAGCTAAATCCTGAAAAGAGAAGTGCGGAGAAGCATACGGAAGAGACGTGCAAGCTGGCTGGCTAGCCAGGCTTAGCTTAGGAGTCTGGGGCAGTGCCAATGTTCACATCACATCTGGACTGATCCCGCACAGAACACATGGCTCTGGCGCCTCTGTACCACCCACCACTGCAGGGGATGATGTGCTACTTTCTAAGAGATGCCCAGCCAAAAAAAAATTAAACGTTAGCTGACATATGTATTAAATTTAATACCAGCCTAAAAACTAGGCTTGCCTGAATCACAGCATCTGATGCTCAGAGTCAGGTTTGTTGGCACAGTCCTGGTCTCAATGGATTGGTCAGCAGGGATTGAACCCAGCTGTCTTCAAAATGTCAGGCAAGTGTGATATTCACATACAACATAAACTGCTGCAATATAAACAAGCCCTAACATTACACATCTCTTAAAAGCAGTGTTGGACCAGTTACATACTTGTTTTATCTGAGCAGATGTCAGCATCTGCTTTAAGTAGAGAGAACCGAAACATTTGTGTTCCTTTCCCGTCCCCAGCCCCCACCCTACTCAGAAGTGAGGAAGAACACCGAGTGTCAGATTTTTCAGTGGCGTTTTATACCAGAGCAGAAAGACAGATGTTTTGATGATTTCCGCCCCCCACCCCCCCCAATCTGGGCAGCCAGTCTCTTTGCTAAGCTCTTCACCCTTACTATTAAAATTGATTTGCACAAGAGTACATTGCAGCCAAAGCAAGCACGGCAGTCATTAAAGAGTAGGCTGCTCACACATGTTTCTGTACTTAGCCAAGTCAACTACTGATGAACGGGTCATCTTTTGTCAAGCAACTGTAAGGAACTGGTAAAGAAATAATTTGTGGCGCAGGAACAGCCATGCTGACAGGTAGGCCTTCTCCTGTCCTTTTGCTTTCCAACAGCAGTGTGCTCTGTTCGCTGGTCTTCAACCAATCTCTCATTATAATAACAGAAAATAATGAATATGTCCTGCTCAGTCACAAGAGCTTATGCCGAGAAATTATGGAAATCTTTAGAAAGTAAACGTAGAGACACTGAAGCAGTGGCGCTGCAAATTAAATCATACTGAACAATTCAAACATAAGCAAAGAACAATAGTTCAACAAGGGACCAGGTCATCGTCAGAAATTAAAACTATACTATGTAATGTGATGTGATGATTCTCAGAATATTGCAGACCACTTCTTAAAGCTCAGGATACTTCCAAATATCACTCCTCCCCTATTAGTCCTCTCACTGTCCTAAGCCCCCTTTATTTTGCTCCGGTCAGTTCAACATGTCCAGCTTCACTGTTTTCTTGCAGTCAGGGATACTACTTTTTCTGGGTTAAAAACAGAGCAAAACAAAACAGAAAAACCCCCAAACAAAGGACTAAAAACACACACAAAAACCCACTACCAACAACAACAACAACAAAAAAAAAAATCAAAAAAACAATCTACTTCCCTTTGTGAGACCTCTGAAAGGTCTTGAATGAGGACACTACATATTATCTTAAAATTATAATAATTACAAAAATCTTGAGTCTTAGTACTAGTTATCACTTTGAGCTCTGGAGAAGACTACAATAAAAATCATGCCACAAAGTTCTCACACCAGAGCAGCTTCAAGAAGCCTCAGCTAGGTCCAGGTTGCATTTTACTGAGTAACAAATGAAGAGCTGTAAGGGAGAAACCTTGCCAATAGACAGGGAGTGGTTGTATCAGATGAAAATTATATCTGATACATTAGAAATCTGATGCCAAATTCCCATCTCCATTCATAGTTTCCACAGCCAAAAGAACAAATGACACCCGTGGGAGAAATATTCTCTGTCAGGAACTGCGCGGAGGTTATATAGCAGCCTATACTGAGCTTTTTTGCAGGCCTTGGCATAATGTCCCACCAAGGATAAGAAGTGAGTAGTGATGCTCAGTCTTCCTCTAAATCTGTAAGACTGCAGAAGGTGCTACTTCAGCATCCTCATATTTGGAACTGGAAATATTCTAGCCCTGGAAATATTGCTCCAGTGCCTTTAGTACGCAGGAATCTGCATTGCTGGAAGTGTACTGCTGAAAGTTGTAAACAGAAGTTTATGGAGACTTACAACCAAGACAAATGAGGAGGGACATTCACAGCTATATCGAGAAATAATGAACACCAAAGCAAACGTGAAGTTTTATTCCTTAACCCCAATGAACACAAGGTCTTGTCTCCAAAGAAACCATTTTCAAACACTGGCAAACTGATCTCCTGTCCTCAAAGAGGAAGGAAAAAGCTGGTCCATTTTTACAGAATTTACTAAAAAAAAAAAAAAAAAGACAGCCTGAGTTAACAGGTAATTGTGAGCAGCATTGCCCTAAGTGTTTGGAGTTTGGCGTAATTAGAAGCCAAAGAAGAAATAATTACAAAAACTTAATAGACACAACTAACTCTTAAATAAGTATCACTGTCATCTCCCTTCAGAATTAACCAAGCACCTGTAAACACAAACTGAGAAGACTTGAGTTCTCTCCGCTGGTTTACTAAAACCTGCATTTTTCACCTCAAAACAGCCACCCTGATGTGCCACTCATGACCACAAGGTGAAAGCTGCAGGACCAGGACATTAGACTTCATTTCTAGGTCCAGGAGGCTTGTATCCTCCCTGAGGATGCACAGCCCTGAGAATATCTGTAACACTATGAGCCACATTTCATTAGAATGCAATTAAAAGAATTATTTGCCTTTTTTTAAAGCCTTGTTTCCAAGAAGTGAACAGGCTCGTAAGCAATCTGCTGGAGAAGAAGTAAAGATGTCTGTCATTATACAGCCTTTTCCAGAGCTATGACTGCTCAGGAGTGAATTACAGCACACAAACTCTCTATGCGTTCCTTTGGATGCACATTTGCTTGTGGAAGAACGGGCTGTCTGTATTGGCACATAAGTACTTCCTCTGTCCTGCCTACACTGTATCAGTTCACTAAACAGATTTAATTTGCAGTTTCCTCCAAAGGCATTTACCGTTGGAATTTTGGTTTTAACAACAGGAGTCTTTTGTATATATACACACACAAAATCACAGCTCTTTAATGATGCTAAGTCAGACAAATACCCTTTCTATGAACATAGTGCAGGAAAAATGTCCTTGAGTATCTCAGATACAAAAAGCCAATAAATTGAATTTATGTCTCATTTAATCTACAATGGAACAGTTAGTACTTAAAGGGTACATACACTTCCCCTAGTCCCTTTCTTCCTGAGAAACTTTCAGATGCTGAAAATCAATTCCTTTTGTCTCCTTGTTATTCATCTGCTACACATTAAGGAGAAACGCTGGGCATTCAGTGATCCCACAATGGTCTTTCATCTCCAGAGAAGCCTGGTATGAATTAAAATCTTACGCTCCCTCAAATTATGGATGCATACTGCAGCATGCCACTGACTTATCTGCTCGTGATTTTTGCCAGTTTTCTCAGCATGCTGCAGCTAGCTCATCTGCATCTTTCAACTTAAGTGACTCTTCTACAGCGCTGCCCATCCAGCCCATGAAAAGTGCTTTGACACTAACATACACAAATATATGTCCCCACACAATAGGTACCGCTATCTAATCTTTTTTCCACCCCCCTACCATTTAGAATTTACATTAAAAAGTGGTTTTACTACAGCCAAGATCTTAGCACAAGAACAAGAAATACGTCATGAAAGTAATGTTCTTCCATTTCAGTGGCCTTGAGAGATGAAGATTATATACAAATAACTCTTAACTGACGTCATTTCTTTGTCATGTCTGTTTTTAAGGGCAGTTTTAACTTAGGACGTTGTTTTTCTGTAATGGACGTAAAATTTAATTGCTATCTAGACTGCTGCAGCGCTGGTCAAACACACGCTGTTCTGTCACTCCCACCTTCCAGCTAGTGGTGCTGCTGGATGTCCCGTACCGCAGCAATTCAAGGCTTCCAGTCTCAGGTCTGGAAGTAAATCAAGGCTTAACATACTTATTCTTCTTTTACGCTTTGTTGCTCTTTCAGTCTATTTTTCCTCCTTCCAAATGCTGTTTGCCCACTCCTCAAATCTCAAGTATTCCCTGCAGCCAAAGTAACACATTCAAAATAAGGAAACACTTGCAAATCTACATTCACATTCTGTCCTACAGGAACCATCATCTTTTGATAGTCGCTTCTACATCCAACACTTTCCCCAGACAAGCTTTTAGCCACCTTGCTATACAATCTCTTAAATAACTGTTTCTTTGTTTAAATTAGATTTCAGTGTGAAACATTTTCCAGCAAACAATCTTGTTATCTATTCAATGTGGTAGTTCGAAGAGCTTTAAAATAAAGCTACTGCAAAGCTAAATTAGAACAGAAACGTGTGCATGATATGTAACCCCGAACAGCAGCTAAAAGGTGAGAACACAGCTCAAACTCACTAGCTATTTTGGGCTCACTTTACAATGTAGCCAAGAAAATTTGGAGCTCAGCATGTGCCTGAAATATGCGTCCAAAGCAACTGTGCAGTTAATAGTGGGCACTGAACTCTGATGTCACACAAACAGCCTGTGCCAGCTAGATTAAAGCTAGCCCAGATACACCTATGGTTTGCAGCCACAGGTGATGCCTGCCCAGCAAAGACCTTACCTCGCTTGAATCCTCCTGCTGATTGATAACAGCTAGTGCATCCTCTGCAGCCTGGCGCTTGGCTTCGGCAACAGTGCGCTCCATTTTAGCTCTCTCTGAAGTGATCATGTCGTGAGCTTTCCGCTCTGCCTCCGACACTGCCTTCTGCAACTCGGCCATCGCCTGACGCTTTACTTCATTGACAGCTTCCTCTACAAAGGAGGGGAGAAAACCTCATCAGCACAGGACATTGGGCACAGGGCTATGCAGGACTGATGCTAGAAATGCAGCAGAGACTTTATCATACGGAGACTCTTCGTTTTGAGAAGGACACAGAGGAACCTGGTTCCTCAAGACTCTTCAGGGCCACCCAAGTGCTTCTTTTCTTCCCCATCACCAAAAGCTCTCACAAGTCTCTAACACTCGTGATGAGTCTTGCTATTTTGATTCACAGTCAGTACTTCTTTAAGTACAGACATTTCAGATCTCTGGTGCGTTATTTTTGTAATCTTTCTCAACATTTTACTTGGAAAAATGGGTTTGCAGCACAGCAGATTTATGAATATCTTTGGCAAAAATTATTATTTAAAACATAATATTACAGACTTTTTCAAGAATGTATCTTTAAGCTCTGGAAATTAAGACAAGATTTATAGTCATTAACAATTTTTTCCCCCATATGTTAACGAATAAATACACGAAGTTAAAAAAAACCCCAAGAGTTTATTTAAAAATTTTAAATCATTGGTCTAATATCTTTTCCTGGACATATAATTTTATGAGCCAAAATTGAAATTTGTTTATGAACATCCATTTGACCTCTTGATCTCTCCTTCCAACCCATGTTTACACTGTGAAGACTCGACTTCCTGGCTCCGCCGAGCTCTTGAGCACACCACAGCCAGGAAGGCTTCAGTGCACAACTAACACTGAGCAGGGGCACACCGCTGAACTAAATTCAAACCTTCATGCTTCTTGTAAAATAACTAAGTCAGTGTGAGCCATTTCTTCGGTATATACTAGCATCATATATCTTTTATTCCGGAAAACATGGATTGTCACAAATTAGTTATTTGGGTTTTGATGCAGGAAGAGTGCAAAGATTCTACTAATGAACAGTCTTTTAATTGACAACTAAAACAAGCAATTTTTTTTTTAATTAACTGCTCTAATTAACAAGGAAACCATCCTCCCCCTGAATTAGTTTATCTAATTTTCATCTTTATTCAAAGCAAAATGACAATGATTAATTGAAAATTTAATAAGCAGTAATTATTAACTTGGCAAACCTAGTACCAATTAACACTCTATTAAAACTAATTATGACATGTTTCATTCAAGTGTTTGCACTTAATTGTTTCATCCACTTAAAAACCACCTTAATTAAATGTTCTGTTTAATTAAAAACATAGATTTCGAATAAAAATGTTTTACTGTAGATTAAAATCCAAGTATTACAACTGTGTTACCGGTTTGAGTTTTAGTCCATGTATTTAGCCCAGGTATTTGTGTGCATGCACATGCACATAGACCTAACTCTTACGTACAGATACTATGTCAATAACTGTCTTGAATTTTTATGTCTCACAGCTCTGCACTTGTATTTAAAAAAAATAATGACTACAGGAAGTCTCCATTTTCAGTTATTAAGCATATTACAATAAAGACTTAACTTTAAGCCATGTACTGACTAAAATTGAATTAATTAAAATGAAAGAAGAGTTCTATTATTCTCTGTCTGTGTGTGTGTGTTACATGTGTGCACATCTGCGAGAGATGTTTCAACTGAAGTTTTCGAGGGAGGGGAATTTAGAGATAAAACTTACGCCTTTATTTTTATGAGGCTGAAAATATGCCCTTATATTACCCTACCATAAATGTTGTTTAGGGGAAAGCCTCAGGAGAGGAAAAAATCATACCCTTCAACCATACAGCCAAGGCTTAATTCACTTTGAATATTCAAGGTGAATTAAAATTCTATCTAAGTGGCAATACAGGACAATAATTTTTGCTTACGATCAAAGCTGCAGCTAGACTAATTGTATATGCAAATCAGGCAATTTATATTTAAATGATGCATTCCTATTCTAGTCCCACAGGCACACACAGATCAGCAAAGGGAATTGGTAGGACATTTGCAAGGTGCTTGAATATTTATTACCAACTGCAAACATTCACTGATCGTGAGAAAAGAAATATACACAGGCAAACATACAGATGCAATTTTATTACCAGTTTCATAAAAGTGAGGCAACTTAAATACAGACATTTTGTGTCTATGAACTGCCGTTATTAACAAAGTGGATTTTTTTTGAGAAAATCAGTATTCTGGCTGATATTTGCTAGAAATAGAAATTAGCTTCGTATGGCATGATGCACTTTCATTACATCATATAAATTTAGTCTTACATTGAAGTGTTTGCAGTGGTTAGAAATGCCAGTTTAAACTGTTACATTAAACGGAACCACAATACTCCAACATTTTACAGAGACTTCTAATTTTATAGTTTTTCATCCTACATAATCTACTTCCTTTCAGTCCAAATACAGAAATTGAACTTTATATTCTAACTTCTATACTGCATAAGTTTTTTTGCAAGGCCTCTGAGAGTGTGAAGATGCTAAAAGTGCTTACGAGGCCATATGCCTGACTGATACTTTCTAATTGGCATAAACTATGGATTGGACTTCAGTATTTCCATTAACTTTGACAACAGAATTTGTATTGTGCTATACTAAATGTGAAAACAAATAGTTAAAATATGTCGGGTTTTTTGGTCACAACGCAGCACCATAATTTCAATACATTATGAACTCATGAACACCCAAATAAACTAGACAAAATTTCCTATTACTGATTTTCTGCACATCTTCTTAAAATAAATGTTTCCAGTACCTAGAGATATTTTATAGACATAGAATGCAGGCTTCATAGTTTCAGATAACAATAAAAACGTAAAATATGTGCAGGAAAAGTTATGGGTGACAGTGAAGGAGATTTTATTTACCTTGACAATGCTGAGCTATCTATGACGACCGAGAATGTTACTAGCACTTTTCCTTTCTCTGCTTTTCCAGAGAAAGGAAGAGTAATTAGATTCCAGTATCAGAAAACATAAATCCAGAAGTTTTTAAAACCAAATATCTAAGATGCACGTATCTGCATCCTCCATTTTCCCACTAATGCTAAGTACTCTTGGCATAAATTCGCTCTGTCTTTTTAAGAATGCAATTGAAATCTTCCTTCCCTTTGAGTAGCGCTAACTCATGGGAGAAGCTCCAGGGAGCCAACAGCCTGTGTGGAATAGGCGTTACTCAGCATGATCAGAGGTCCTTGGAGCTGACTCAGGAGAGGAGTCAACTCATCATTCACTCCTGTATATAACCCAACATGGTGATTCACCAGCCAGCTCCTGGTCACCTCCCTCACATCGCGGGCACACTCAGTCCACATGATAAAAAAGGAAAGGTGGTGGACAGGGGTGCAGTCCTCTGCCACCATGACATTTTGCATCATCTCACTCTGAGGCTGACCCTGGCAAAGAAGGTCATTGGGAGCTGGTGACATGAGTTGTCTCAGCTTCATACTCCAAAATGCACACTCTTTGCCAGGACCCCCCTGGAGAATGTGCAGGGTCTTTACTGTCCTTGTATGACAAAGCATGGTCATTCCACACCTGTTTGGTAACTGCAGAGCTTAACTCCAGTAAGTAACTGGAGAAACTGGTTAACTCCAGTCCAGAACTGCCGTGAACAGTAGGCCTTGCTGTGTGATAGGAGGTGGCTGGAAGACAGTTTCCTCATGACACAGAAAGAAGCTAAAGCAGCAGCCCACAGTGGGCCTGGAATCCTCTCAGTATTTAATAAAGAGAAATAGGTGTTTCCAGAGAGCAAGTCATCCAATCTATGATCCGATTGATCCTCTTCACATGCCTGCCTCTCTCTTGAATACTGAGGGACACTAAGAACTTGGCTTGGACTCTTCATCTACATACCCATAATTCAATGAGATGAATCAGGACACTGATGACTTTCCAGTGATGTATGAAACTGAATTGGGTTCACACGGCTTTAATTCACAAGGTGCTGCTTACTATGTGCTTGCTCCAACAATCACAAAAGCACGTGCTTAACTTGGTGTATTTAAAATTGTATGCTTTCTGATGTTTTACTACTCTTAGTAACAGATACAGGTGTGCATCCTGTAGAGAGTCAGACTTTTTTTGTTCTCCAATTCACAGGCACACTCAGTTAATGCAGGGAATCTGATTTAAACCCACATCAGCATGAAAATACGAGACTAGAAATGGGACCAAAGGAAAAGCTTTGTTTCAAAGGAACTGATGACATACACGTTCACAAGATGACATGTCGCAGCTGCTTTACACTACCATTTGTGGATATATGCAATGTGAATGCACATCCAATTTTATAACTCAGGCCAAAAGGTTCAATTAACATGTATTGCTAGCTTATGAAGAAACTTTTTTTCTTCTATTGTACTGCATCTAGGAGTCATAAATGACCTGATGTGCGAAACAACATCAAAACCTAGATTTTGCAAGAAGGATAAAGTTCCTGAAATTCAACAGAATAACGCTCCTCTTACTGAGATTTCCTGGGACTGCATATTTTTTCTTCTTTTTCCTTTAAGATGTTAACATAAATATGGCAAAACAAACTATAAAAATACTTTTGGGTACACAAGAGCATTGAGTTACAAAGGCTATACCTTCCTTGGACAAAAGAAAAAGTTGTAATTATTTTGTTATTTTTCATATAAACCACAGCAGTTCCAAAAACATTAATTTACATATTGACAAATGTAGACTTTACATGATAAACCCGTAGACTTTACATGATAAACCCACATCACACAAACAACACAACTTCTTATCTGATGCAAAAACATGCCAGCAGAACATTTCTACACATATGTTCTGTATCTAGTTTAAAATACACCAACAAGCAGCAAGCAGTTACAGGAGATTTGATCAGAAAGCATCAAAACTGTTGCATATTTGCCATTTAATCATTAACTCCTTCTCAGATAGCTGCAGTAGACTTCATGGTTATACAGGTGTTCAAAAGGGGTGTGTGTGTATGAGTGTATCATAGAAGCTCAACTATGTCCCTGGAGTTCAAGAGCTACCTCCTGGCTCTTCTGAAAACAAGGAATCTGATATCGATGTCGAAAGAGCAAAGGTTCAGCTCCAGCACCACAATAAGATCCTCGACAGAAAAATCCTGTGCTCGGGCAGAGTTGTAAAGTGTTGAAGAAAACTCTGTACAACCACAACATCTGCCCATGGTGCTTTTCAAGCTCGGGAAAGATGCCGTCAATGCTCGTGCAACCACCCAGAGCAGCTGCGGAGATGTGATCTTGCTTACTTCATTGAAAACTTTGCAAGTTTATGAGCACAGACTTCACTGGGGGCTGACAGGCACAAAATCTTTTTAAAATTAAGAATGGTTACATTGCATAGCTGGAGGTTTTTCTTTAGCAGGTATGCTTAGGTTTTTTCCCCTCCCTTGGGAATTCTGACCTTAACTAGGTAAGAACCTTGAAGCTTAAAAAAAAAAAAAATCCGACACAAACTTTTTTTTTAAAAAATTGCTAGCAGACTGAAACTTTAGCATATCAAGTTTCAGCCTGAAACCATTATAACCCCAGAAAATAGGGGTCCTTAATGGAAGTACTGATATCCCCCTAACTATAGCAGCAGATGCTTCTATTATAAAGATTATTTCATGTCCTGATCAGTTCCAGTTTAAGATTATTAAACACAATTTCTTCTTGTTACTAGTAAGCCCCACCACCCCCCCTTTTTTTTCCCCCCTCATTCCTCACATCACTGCATTAACAACTGCACAAAGCTGCCAGAAGACTAAGCTGGTGTTTTTAAACAGTTCTTACCAGCTTTCTTCCAGATCTCCTCTGGCACGTATCCAGACGCAGGCCTGTGAAGGAATTCCCGATGCGATTCTGCAGGAGGAGGGGGTGCAGAGGGAAAAAGAAAGAGCATCGTAAGCAATGCTTGCTTGTCGAGAACAAGGGTTAGAGAAATACCTTTTCCCTTTAATCACACAAAAAAATCACGGGAAGTATTTTCTTACGCAAAATAAAATGGGTGTTGTAGCCATAGCTCATGAATGTCACATAGACCAGATCAGCATTTAGGACCTGAATGTCTCATCTGAAGCCAAGCTGAGACTAGTTCGCTTTATTTTCATTTTACAGTGTTTCAAGTCAACTCTATATGACAGTTTCCACGCTTTTAAGGCTGGCTTTGCGAGACCAACTGAGGGAGTGACGTACTTCATCCTTTGTCATTATGTTTATGAAAGGAAGAAGAAAGAGCGCAACAGTCTGCGCTTGGCACTTCTGCTTTGTGAAAACCGAATGGCTACTGACGAGCAGAGATAAAAGCCAAGATGTCATTCCAGTGATCAAATAAGCTGTCCACAGAAAAAGAAAGGGGTGTTTCTACACGTTTAGAGCTATGCTTTCCTATATCTGAGCCCATGTTGGCAACTGTAACTGCACGAGTTTGAAAAACAGAACCTTTAACTTTAGGTTAAGCCCCTAAATACATATGCTGCCAAACAACCTCACTGGAGCTGAAGCTCGTAATTCACCCATATATTTCAATCACATTTTGACGGCTCTTTCCCCCCCTCCTCTTTTTTTAAAGGGTTTAACCTCTGGGCCTGAGCCTAAGAGGTCTGAAATCAGCAAGATCCCTTCCACACGGACTTCAAAGACGTAAGATCAGACAATACAGAAAGAAAATTCACTTTGGCCTGAAATTTAGCATACAGATTCTCAGCAGATGAAAAGCTGCTCTTTTCAAATACAATTTAAAAAGTTATTAACTATTTTTCAGCTTAATAGAGGAGAAATAAAAAAAAAAACAAACCCAAAAACATAAAGGTAAGTTCATTCCCATGATTACTATTGCCTGTGTGATAGAATCCAATTGTCAAAATAAAATAACTTGATTTATTACATTAGAGATAAGGTTTGCATCTTTTTAGAGATGTTGCTAGAAATTAACCATCCTGTTTGATGGCTGAGTTTGAAACATAACAAAAGTACACGTGCCATTCTTTGAATACTTATTTTTACTAAATATATTCATTTTTGTATCTTAAAGTTGTTATTCGATAACTTGGTCAAAAAGTAGTATTTTTAAGAGAAGGGTTGAATCATTAGGTTTTGCAAATCGTTTTTTACACCACCATACATATGCATGCAGTACTGTTTATATACAGTAGGCTACAGAAACTTAAATACATTTAAAAGATGACATTTAATATTGCAGACAGCTAACAAAGGTGGAAATGACAGGGGCTGCTTCAGCTACGCAGAGAGTAGGGAATCCCAGTCCCTGAGCACTGTTCCACAGATGCCGTTTCTAACACATGAATCTGCAGACATCGATGGGGTGGACTGAATCTTCCCATCTGACAGGCAGCTGAGTGGATTTCCCCAGCTCTTCTGTTTGCCACTAAAGTATGGGATGAAAATAAAATGGATTTTTGTAGGCAGAATTTCACACCTCTCGAGCATAAAATGATGTGTGTGTGTGCGTGCGCACAAGATTCTGCAAAACAGCTATTTCCATTGGTTTAATCAACATGACAGAGGACTTCAGACCTGACACTGAAAATGGGAAAATTCTCAGTATCACTTGGCTCGTATGATTCTGGAGACAACAAATATCATTGTGTACACTTCTCTCAACCCTTAGAGGCTTTTAGACTTAAGGGAACAGTGCCAGTTCAGTCAGGGACCGAGGAGGCAGCAGAAAACATTGCTTGAAAGCTCAGGAAAACTAAAGGTGAGAAATTAAAACACTCTTATTTGCTCTCCTGCAATACCTGCAGGAAAAGACTCAACCAGACTCCAAACGTGGCAAAACAAGGGGCTTGTTGCACTCATGTCTTGTGTTTTGTGTTGAGTTTTCCTGCCTGCTATTTAAGGTACCATCCACTGCAAGGGGATCATAACCTTGATTTAAGCCCTTTACCGCGGTACTTAGTATTAAAAATAAAGAGATGTGGAGCTGATTTTTTGGTACACATGACTTTCCAAAAATGGAATTCAATGACATAAATGACCAGATTGCCAGCTAATTGTTAAAATTTCCAAAACATAAACATCAATCAAGCTCTTATTCTAACCACAAATTATTTACATGAGGAATGAGATCCTCTGCAAGAAGAATTAAACCAAGACTTTGTGAAAGACTTTCCCATAGTTTGGAATGGCGCACAAAAAAAGACAAGAAGCACTTACGAAGATAATAAAAACCATATTTTCCAAGCAAGAAAAATATTATTAACATGGCTATTGTTTAGTCAGTGGTGATGAGTCCATGAAAACAATCTTCTTTTGGGGGCTAAACTACAGGATGTGACCGGAGGATATAAGTCTTATATTACTATTAAGGTAAGGTGTGCTTCAGATTGAGAATCACAGAACTGGCTCACTAAAACTAAAACACAAAAGATCTTAACTTGGACTTCTAGCAAACTCAAACCGAAAGTAACACAATCAAGTGAGGTCCCTAAAACACTAAATGTAAAACCAACTGCAAAGAGCCATAAGGAGGAAGAATGCACTATATTAACTGACTGAAGCACCCTAGAAGTCAAAGTAAATTCTGCCTGGAAGGAAATGGAATTAAATCAGACAAAATTAGGAATAACCTGAAGCAACAAGGCAGCTCATACAGAAAAGGATAACGGGAAAAGCTTTACATGTCAGACTTAACACAGATTTGTTCATGGTGAAAATGCAACAGTGTTATTACGCAGAACAAAGGGATGTACAGTACTGAATTTACTTGAAATTCACGGAGAGGCATGGTTTGAGAGCACTTGTTGATAATCAGTCTGGTTCCTACTGAACCATATGGAAAAGCCCGACAAGGAAAACAGAATGCACATATACATGAGAGTAATCAATACTTGCCCGTGAAAAGTCTACATGAAGTAAAAATAAAATAGATTTTTGAAATTGAAAATGGAATTTTCTATTTTAATGTGAAATATACTTTTCAGCAATACAGTTGCTGGACTGGCACATAAGAATACACGTGAAGAAAAGACAGAAAAGCTAGTCTCAGTTTCACACCTCACATTCTACTGAATAGCACGGAACAACATAATACATTATTTTCTAAAATATATAGAAAAAGTACCGTTTCTAGTCTATCCTGGATATTTTTTTAAATAAGAAAAAAAAAACATTCACCAAAAAAAATCCTATAGTCACAATACGGTGCCATGTTCCATATGGGCTCTTATTTATTTCAAGAACGCATTCAACCATAAGAATCATCGACAGTTAATTGATCAAACAGGTTTCTGGTGTTCAACAAGCAGAAACATCCTGCAGACTGCTTATTTTTCGTGGTTTTAAGATAAGGAGGATAGGTGCTGAAAGTACTGAGAGAGAGAGATGTGAAGTTGTAAGAGCAGAAATAAATGTGGGTCTGGGAAGTGAAACTGAGATGAAAAGTTAGGACCAAACAAAGGAGGTGAACTCTCATATGATAATAAGGACCAAACCCAAGAAAACAGAATAGAAAGACTTAAAAGGAAAAGATGTGTTCAGAACTGTCCAAAAGCCTAATTCGTATTTGGAAAGAAGGAACAGAAGATGGGTTGAAAATATAAAAGAAAGGAGGTTTTTACCACTGGACAATGACATCAAAGCCTATAATAACAAAATAGTAAGAAACAGAGATGCACTGCTGGTATTTTGGGGTCCTTTTAGAATTTATTGTATTTATGAAAACACCAGCAGCAACAATGCCCTATATGCCATAGCAAACATTAGGGCTCAAGCATAATAAAAGCTGCATATAACCAGCCCTGAACTATATGAAATATATATGCTTTTATATGTATTTATATGCTTTTCATATTTCATATGCAAGTTTTGCTTCATTCTACCCTATAATAAATGTGACACCATTGGTGGGACATAGGCAACAAACTTCTCAGAGGAATAAATATTCACTGCCTTGTTTGTAAGAGTCAGGCGCAAAAGTGTGCCCCTCCAATTAATGGAATATATAGATACAAATCTGAAGAAGTGTAATACTGAATGAGACTACCTTGCTAATCTTGTTGGGGGGTGTGAGTTTCAAGTATTTTTATGTACATCTTTGCCCTTCTTTGCCCTCTAATACATTTTTGTTGCTCTTACAACACTCCTTGAACACATGTGAAATTGTGTTAAAAATATAGTTGTATTCTCATTTAAAAAGAATAAGAAAAGGAAAACCACACAAGTACTGTATTGCTGAATCATCCTCAACCAAGAACAAACTTCCAATAACTAGCAGCAATAGATTTTCTCTCTTTTATGCCACTTATGAGTTATTTTGCAAAGCACAATAGTAACGAGGGTGGTATAAGGAATGGATAAAAGAGACCCTAGTCCCAAGGAGGTCAGAAATGAATACTGAGAATACAAACCCACAATGTTTCTGAAGCTGTAGCCCTATCTAACAGCATGCAATTCAGTACGCCACAATCCAGCCCAAACCTCCCGTGCAGCGAGTGGATTAAGAGCAATACTTAATATCATCAGTGACCAGTATTACAGAGGTTTTACATTCTAAAATTACAAGTTATAAATGTTACTGTGGTATTCACAGCATTCCCGTTAGCTCACGTTGAGAATATCATGCATAACACAGAAATGCCGATTATCTGCAAATGGCAAAAAAAAAAGATTTTAATCGCAGCATGAACAGACACATATATCGGCAGGGATGGCCCCGCCAAAACTGAAAGGACGAGGGAGGGTGAACAACCTTCGATAAAATATAAACTAGCTCTGAAAGGGTTAACATTTAAAATGTATGAAGAAATGGCTAACCTATGTGTTTTTGACAAATTTATACACTTCTGAGAATCTTGGCTTCCTGGGGCAAATCCTGCAAGTACTGGCACTCTTCAGTTGGAGATTTCAAACTCTGTTTTGTAAGATTTCCATTCAGATAAATTCAACAGACACAAAATATCAACATCACTGCAGACCTTCTGATGTGTGCCTACACCACTTATCTAGAGCCACAGCTGCACTCAATAAGGTTATAGATCTTGTTTATAACCCACGATGTTGAAGAACCCTCATCTTTAATTTATCCGACTGTGTGTATTTCAGTATACATTGTCTGATATGTGTAATTATTCACTATTAGGATGAAAGTTGCAGTCCTGCTGCAGTATGTAGTACTGAAATTCTTCAGCAGAAATGGAGGAGTCGGATGATGTATTATTCAATTCATAGACCATCACAGTTCATCAACTGAATATATATAAAGTCTGAGTCATTTTTAGACTTTCATAAACATGTATTATTCAGACTGAAAAGAATGGACCCATCTTACCTTCAACACACTCTCGGAGAATAATGAGAGCTTGTAACCTGTTGTAGCTGGCTAATCCATGTATTGGATTACACTGCATTAAAATGAATTATTAAATATTTCATTTGATTTCTTAATTAAAAATATCAACAGAAAAACATCGATCAGATACTGTGAACTGTCAAGCTCAACATGATTTACAGGGATGTCAAATTAAAAGAAGCACAAAAATCTTTGGCAGAAAAAAAGGTCTGCTGGTTCAAAATGACGACCAGAATTTTCTTCAGTTTCTTTTGGACTCAAACTATCTATGCTAAATTTCAGCTCAGAGTTTTTCAGCGACAGCTATCTATGAAGACCATGGCATAATGTTTATAGTGAGAATTTATCACTTCAGTGATGATATTTTAATCGTAAAGAGAAAGAAACAAAGGCACAGACAACGTAGCCATATGGCCCCCCCCCCCCTTTTTTTTCTCTTGCTAGTAGAGATGACAAGATGGATTTAAAGGGTGGATTACCTCTTTTTAAAAAAAAAAAAAAAAGTACAAAGGGGAATCACTAACATTTAGAATCCCTGCAGCAAAAAACAGTATTTACATGTTGTGGCGCTTTAATTAAAATATTGGAAGAATTTTTCAACCCCTTCCTCCTCACTTCAAAACTAAAATAAAAAGCCCTAAACAGAACAGCGTCTCAAGGCTCACAAGACACTGCTTCAATTTTATTGTACCTCAGAATGTTAGGAGTTTTCATTTTGTCAACAAGATTACTACCAGATTTGAGGAAATATAAGGATTACCTTTCCATAGACTCCTAAGTAAGTATTTTCTGCCTTACGTTTCAGACATAAAAGCACATCTTATCAATATTTACAATTGACGTGGATGCTACGTCACTAAAGTGATCCAAGTTTCATGTCCATGAGTCTCAGAAGTAGTTTTTAAGGCCAAATAACCAAAGTAGACATATTAAAATCAAAGTGGACTTGCTCCAACCGGTTCAGTTGTACCCATAATAGTGCAGAGGTGACTGGTGTGTCCAATGCTGAAGGCTGTGCTGTATAATGTGTTTTTAAGCAAACAGATTTTGCTGTTTCCAAGAATTAATCTTGACATATACACAAACAAAATGGTAATATAGGGATCTAATTGTATGTTTGATCTTCGTTTTATCTTTTTTATTGCTGCTGTTGTGGTTATGACTATTTTTCTTGGATTGTACTATTATCTATGAAGTTTTGATGAATGTCTTGAGTTCCAGTTTCTTTGGGGAAATTATAAAAACTCAGTTTCCTTTCCTTTTTTTACCTACTAACTGTACTTACAAGCACCACGGCCTGGCTCTTTTTGCATCATAGCTTTACTAGAGAAGAGTGCCACTGCTTTTGATCTAGGGGTTTTCTCACAAGCGTTCTTCCCGAAGCTGCAGATGTGATCGACATTTCAGATGCCGTATTTATGAGTCTTTCTTTACATTACATTTAACACTATTCGTACAAGCCATTACCTGAATGCTTCTTTCTGAGAAGGGCTCCTCTAGGGACTAGACTTATTAGTGAAGTTGGGAACAGCATTTCCATAACCCTTCCTTTCACTGACTGAAGCTAATTTATAGAGCTATTGGCTCAGATCATTTGACACACACACAAAAAAGGTTTGTTTGTTATCAAGAGGCACTAAACATTACAGTAAAAACTCTGGTTTTACTAAAAGGAAGATTGAGAGGGCATTAGATTTGTTTTTCTGTTTTTCTATTTGCAATTAAATAAGTTTTAGATTTAATAAATTATTCTTAAGGGCAAAAGGAAAACACAGCTTTAAATAAAATATAGCTGCAAAATAACACACACGTGCAATTCTACTAATGACCACAGTTTATGATGATTTTGAGGAGATGGCATTCAATAGGGACAATTTATTTTTTAAAAGATAAATATTAGACAAGCAATCATAGTTTGCTGTTCTCTTCAAAAGAGCAGAGAACAAAAAAAAGGCATCACCAAGATGTGTTTCTTTACCACACCTGCCATAAAAGTGAGGGGATGGGGTAGAAGCAGGCCAACATATTAATAGATTACAGAAAGCCCACAAAATAAAAGCTTGTTTTCATACAGCAGAGTCATCTTGAAGTAGTTGTGTGAGGTATCGTGCGAGTGTGACTGTGAAGGTCTGCAGGGTGTGAAAGTCCAACTGCTTGGTCTGCTCCTTGTAAGTGGGCTTTGCAGCTTGAGCTGAGCTCTGAGTGGCTCCATGTAACTACACAGCCAGCAGTATCCAAACTAGCTCTGACACACCTGCATGAGCTGCAGTGGTGGACACAGACGTAGGAGGATCATGTGTGCATGACTGTGGGCATCCCAGATGTTGTTTGTTTCTTATACGGAAACCAAGTACAGCGCCCGTATCTTTATATCTCCCTTCATTTCCTTAGAAAGACAATTTCCAAGTCAAGTCATTTGATTCAAGAAGGTGAAAGCCCTTGGTTTCACGATGCTAACAATCCAGAAGCACCTACAGATTTCCTTAATCAAGCAGGCAAGGGAGGGAGACGGAAGGGACAGAGAGTCAGTGCACATCTCACTGCTCTGCCATCCCTACATGACAGTCTGTCCTCCTGCCCCATCACTCTCAGACATTGCTGAACGGAAAGCAAATTACCAAGCATCCCCCAAAAACCCAAGCCATTCCACATGTAAATATGACTATTAGGGCATAAGAGTTATAGTTAATTTAGTAGTCAGCAGAGAGGAATATTTCATTGCTATCACAGAAGAAGAATCAGAAGAACAAATATGAACTTCATCTATCGCTTAGCTGAGCTGAAAGAGGATCAGTAAACAATTTTTAATGAGGATACTGTACCTAATGTAACTGGATCTGGATTCACTGGACTCTGCTGTCTGGAATGACTACTGCTGCTGTTACCGCCTTTTTTTAAATCTTCTGCATCACTGTACCGCCGTATCCAGTAATTAAGCTCCTCACGGTCTGCTTCTTGACATCGCCGTAGTACAGTGAGGGATCGCCTAGTTTTTTCCACCATGTCCATTATACAGTTTAACAGCTATTCACAGGGGTGGATGGAGCAGAGACAGAAAAAAGAACATTTTTTTCATAAACTGACAGAAGAATAAAGAAAACATTAATGTGCTCAGTGCCTGGGTTTTAAGAATGAAGGAGCCTCTCCCTGTTATTTCAAATACAGGGTTTTTTTAAGAATGACAATCCCTTCCTGTTTAACTGGTGATCCTAAACTGTACAGATACAGATTTCTGGGGGAAAGGGAGAAGAAGAGGAGGAAAAGACTGAATGGGCTGTAGTCCCACCACTACCATCACATGGCAGCATGGAGGCCAGGAGATCTGGTCCAGAACTGATGCCTGCAAATGTTATGAACGCTAATAAATTCAAAGAACAAATCCAATTAACCAGTACTAAGGGCGAGGGTCATGTGTCCCAGATCCAAGGTTTACGGACAAGAGTCTACTCCCCTTTTGGCAGCCTGTAATAATTAGGATACTGCAATAGGCACTTAACAGCAAGGTCTGATATGAGCTACCTAATGGGGAACATCAAGCCCCTAGATTTAATCACCGACGTTTTCAAAACTTCTCCAGGGATTCAGATTTGTTTTAAAAGTTTAAATTCCTATCTTAGAAGGGCTCCTTTCAGACAACTATATGTAGGAGTACATTTAGCCCTTACATGGTCAAGGTGTTTCCACTCTTCTGCCCATTCTCTGTCTGTTAGCCTGTGATCAATCATTTCCTCTTGACGTGTGCCATGCAACCCTGCCAAAAAGGAGCAAATCATGTTTACAATGTTGGGAGTCCTCTAGGGGGAAAAAAAAGAAAAAAGAGCCTATCAGACAAATATACATTACCTGGTCTAGTATCAGGAATGTCACCACAAAAATAAATGGATGCTTAAAAACTTTGCTCTAAGTTCTCTTCAGCACTTTTCCCCACAAAGGATGCTACTGTTTTACTCATTTTAATGTCTTCAATTCTGTAAGTTCTGTAGGTTGCAAGATGACCTCTCAAAAATGGACATAACCCTGAATACATACAATTTTTTATATATATATATATATATATATATAAAAAACTTAATACAATATATAGTTTTTCATTTGCACTCCCTGAAGAAGTCAGCAAGACAATTATTTGGAAACTCAGTGTATCAAATACTAGCTGTACTTCAGAGAGTTTATACTAAAATATTAGTATAAACTCAATGTTATTTCACTAAATGCAGTAATTACTACCATGTCAACAAAGCATCATTAAGGGTTCATCCCTTCACAGATGTTTAAACAACATGTGGTTAAAATGTAGCACATATATCAGAGCAGCTGACAACATGATACAACCAAGCCAGTATTTATTATCAACACTCAAGAGGAACCGACACTTGCTCTTTGTTTAGCCTCCTCTATACAGATGCTGAATATTTGTAAACGTTCCTCTTTTATTGAAGATTTGTTTAAAACAAGGAAGAATAGTAAGTGCAGATGTGAAGCAAGCCAGGCAAATCCAAGAGCATCAGACATCCCATTAAACCAAAACGTGCTGCAAGGGCAGCCCTGCGCAGGGTGTGGTTGGTGCTTCAAGATAACCTCTCAAAAATTTACATAACCCTCACTACATACAATTTTTTATATATATATATATATATATATAAAAAAACTTAATACAATATATAGTTTTTCATTTGCACTCCCTGAAGAAGTCAGCAAGACAATTATTTGGTAACTCAGTGTATCAAATACTAGCTGTACTTCAGAGAGTTTATACTAAAATATTAGTATAAACTCAATGTTATTTCACTAAATGCAGTAATTACTACCATGTCAACAAAGCATCATTAAGGGTTCATCCCTTCACAGATGTTTAAACAACATGTGGTTAAAATGTAGCACATATATCAGAGCAGCTGACAACATGATACAACCAAGCCAGTATTTATTATCAACACTCAAGAGGAACCGACACTTGCTCTTTGTTTAGCCTCCTCTATACAGATGCTGAATATTTGTAAACGTTCCTCTTTTATTGAAGATTTGTTTAAAACAAGGAAGAATAGTAAGTGCAGATGTGAAGCAAGCCAGGCAAATCCAAGAGCATCAGACATCCCATTAAACCAAAACGTGCTGCAAGGGCAGCCCTGCGCAGGGTGTGGTTGGTGCTGCTGCTGTTCGCTTCCTCTGCAGACATCCCCACGCTGCAGTGCACTCCTGAGATGTCACACGTGAAACACTTCTCCAAAGGCCTTCCTCTAGTCTAAGCTGAAATCAAGCTATATCGATGTGGCATTAAAAGAAAAATAAAAGGCTCTACCTATCCTTGCCTGCCAGACACCTGAGTGTCCATGTCATCTACGCAGCTGTGAAAGCACAGGTTCCTCCTCCTTCTGACTCTCTTCCTTTGGAGTGTAGCAAAGACAGAATTCAATCCACTTTTACAAATATAAATCTGAAATAAGGCCATTAGAAGCAGCTAGATGGACAAACACCTATAAAGGCTACATCTGAACGGCAGGTATATTTAATCAGGGGAAAAAAAAAAACAAACAACTGTTCAAAATACAGAATATAATTACAAGGAAAAGAGAAACATAAAAAAAATATGCAGAAAATCAACATGCCTTACCCATAGGTCTGTTTCTGTCCCTGAGGTCCCTGTGGTTGGGGTGTCTGTATGAGTCCCTGTAGTGATGGGCAATGGCCATATCATCCAAACGATAATGCTGAGGTGGAGGTGGGGTGGGATGAGGCAGACCATTGGGCTGATAAGATAAGCCATTATTTGGACTGTACCGCTGGCCTGGGCTAATAGTGCAGGGCCGCTTGCTTGGATGCTCTGAGTGCAAAGGCTCTCTGTCAAAGCCATTTTCTTTGGTTCTGAAAAACAAAGCAAAGGAACTTTAATTCACTTAGCGAGCAGGGCTGCTCAGGAACACGCACCCCCACCGACGCATGCAGCTTCAGGAACTAAAGCTTGTTCTTTCACTTTGCTCCAAGTGTGTGGTGCTGCAGAGCATTTCATAACACTGCTTATTCAAAATATATAAAGGACACATTCACCTTGTCTAACTATCCCTGTAACTTGAGAAATACTAGCAGGGCGAGACTTCTGATGGAGCGGCTTAAAGAGCCGGGCTGGAGAGTGAGCAGCCTTCGCTGAAATCACCGGCTGATGGGATGGATACACACGTAATTGCAGAGCTGAAACAATCAACTGATACATGAAGCTAGAGGCTGAGAAACTCCTGCTTTCAGTAGTGCTATAGCATATAGTGATTAGGGGAAATCTGCACTTAAAGAAGTGTGGGGTTTTTTTCAAGAGGATAGCATACAGTCTTAAGGTAGCGTGTCAGTGTCGGCTATACGTAATGCCAGGATGAGCTCCCGTCAAGATCAGTGTCACACTGAGACTTTGGGCAAGAATGACTCTAGATGATGAGAAATGCTTCCTTCAGAGATTTTTGTACAATCTAGGCTATTTCAGTCAAAGGTGCTGAGCCTGTCATTAATTTTGCAGGAAGATGTGGTTAGGCTCAAGTCCTCAATAACATTCAAGATTTCCTACTCCACTACTCTTAGACCCAGGTTTTATGCTCAGGCAACTTTGAAGAGTTATCAGGGAGAAGGGCAGTTTTTTACATTATAGGCACTCGTTAATTCAATTCATAATCAGCTATTTCCAAAGAAATCTCTATTTTGCACCGCTGCCTGAGAACCTGGAACTCACACTGAATTCGTCTTCCATTAAAATAAAAAAAGGCAGGCTAGAGTTACTTCAACAGGTTCACAACTCCTTTTAGGGAAGCTTCATTTCATTGAAGTATGGGGGTTTTTTTACCACTGGAATAAACAAAACATACACAACATTAGCTTTGAACAGAAAGGTTATTAGATATAAATATTGCAAACTGTTGAGGTTGCACCACTCCCTCCAAAAACTTTATTATTAAACAGCTGATGTATTCCAGCCTTTTTTAAAGAGAACTTTCTCCTCTGTGATTTACGGATGGCATAACATATCTTCCTAGTAATAACACAATTTTTTTGTCACTTGGACAGGAAGGTAAATTTGATTTAATATTCTTGTTTGCCTGCTGTTAAAACCAACTGCCCTTCAACAAACCCTCCCCCACAAACCAACCAACCTCGAGGGACTGTCTGTGGAGAAACACTCAATGTATTAATTGTTGCCCCTCAATAGGTTCTCCTTTAATGTCAATGAGAGGAAGGATGAAACCAAATCTTTGCCAATATCCACTGGGAGAGACGATCAGAGTAAGATCTTGCAATTACCAGCAGGAAATGAAAAGATGGGTTGCACTGTTTTCAGGAGTAAAGAGATTTTCCAAGGACCTCACCACAACGACTAATGCCAGAGAAGCTGCAGGTATATATATTTTATTATACCTTAACTTGGCAAAGAGGGGAGAATCTTTCACCAATACAGCAGGACAGCTGTTCTAATTTTGGGCAGAGATATAAAAGACATACTTTGTTAAAGTGGAGTATGTACCTTGTTCCAAAGCAAACGCAGAATGGCTGTGAAAACTCCTAATCAGGAAAACCTGAGGACCATTATATATTTTTCATGACTTTTGGCACGATGGAACTGCTTGCAATAACTCCCAATGGGTAGTGAAGTTTTTGACAGCTCTCCAAGACAAGTTTTGTATTTAGTTGCTGGTGTGCGTTTTCTTTACACATACCTATTCAAACTCAATGTCCAGGTCTTTCAATTGTAAAAATACTATGCAAGCAAAGAATGGACTTTCCTGTATGTACAAGCCAAGCTATTCATTTGCCAAAGTTCTTCAGTGTTACAGTTAGAATGATCTCTAACTAAGATGGGGAAAAAACAGAAACTGTAATTAATTAAGTAACTTCATTGACTTTTTTTGATCACTCGGTGTAGGAAAAGCAAACCAGAAAACTGTGACAAGTAGGAACCCAGTTTTTCTTTTCTGCACTACAATTAGAAGTTAAAATCATGTATTTTCATACAAATGTACATATTCACACCGTACTGTACAGGTACTTCTGTGTTTTTTTAGGAATGCTTTGTACTTAATTACCTTAACTGGAATGCACTGCATTAACTTGGACAACACACCAACATGTCCATTTTCTTCTAGAACCCCGAGTTTAACTACCATAGAAATTAACATTACCATTGAAAACACATTTACTGAAATTAAATTCCTATTTTTGCTATTACGCTGGGTAAGGGCTGTCAGGTCTTTTCTGGATGTTAAAACCTTAATTCTACAATTTGTTGTTTTATTTTCTGCACTGACCAAATAAACAACTTAGCAGAATACCAGAATGAGGCTGTACATAAACTCATTTTGTGTTTCTGACCACAAAAAGTATATAAAAAGGTAACAACTTCCAAGGTCTCATCAGAACAGGAATAACTGGTAAATGTACTATATCTGAATATACTGAATATAGTGATAAAAGACGAAGTACTGTAGACTGCCATAATTCAGATGCCCTGAACTCAGCCTGCTATTCTGCTTCTGATCGCAGTCCTACTCATTCTTCCAGGTCTCACGCCCTTGGGACAGGAGCATTTCCCCAGGTGCCTGAGGAAGCACTGCTGTTTCACAGTAATTGGCAGACCCATGTGAGTACTAGTGCCAAATCCAAAAGGGCCACAATTTCAATCTGATTTCATCTGATTTTTATCTGATCCATCCGATTTTGCAAAGCAACAGCAAGCTGTAGAGAGGAAATAACACTGAATGTGTAGGAAGCCTAACTGACACATTTTCTTGTTTTTCTTTTTCTTACTCCTGTTGGTCACGTTCTCCTTGACGTGCACATAAATCGACACTGTCATTTGGAAAATTGGCAATATGATAAAGATGGGGTCCTTCAGCTATAAACATGCAAGGGGTCACTTTACTTGGAATCATGATTTACTCAGATTAAAGATAGTAGAATAGATACTAGTCATCAGTCTGTACCCATTTAACAGACTATATGTTGTTTGTAAGTTATCATTTCAGTTTTAAATTATTGCAATTTATGGATAATTTCCTGGGTAGAAAATCTGACCATGCAAAACTGCCTTGGCTGGAAAATTGTTTCACCTGATCAAGAGTATTACACCAATTTCACTGAACACTGACGTCAGCTTGCAAGAAGGAAGCAAAGCTGTTCATCTGCTATTTGTGCAAGATGCTTTGATTAAAATTGGACTTCCACCAATGAAGTTTTGATGACCAAACAAGTGATAATGCTTTGCTGGAACAAAATACTTATTTTGTTTATAATACTGTGTTACAGAAAAGATCAATATTGTCTTACTAACAGTTCATATTAAGAAAATTCTTTTAAAATTCCTCAAAATTACACATGGCTTACAAGTAGCATAGCTGTAAGAGCTGTGAGCATCCTTCACCTTATTGAGATGTGGAGGAGCTTCTTCAAATAAGATTTGAAGAAGCTAACAGAATTATCAAAGTCGGTCTCTGTGCCCAGATACCTTCAACATGAATTCCTTGTCAGGGGTGCCAAGGGTACAGCAAGCACAGCAGCGCTTTCTAAAGTCACAAAACAATCATGGCCATTTTTGTTTTCTTCTCACTCAAAATTAGAACTATTCTAACAGATTTTTTTTGCTATCCTATATCCACTTTGTAGGCAGCTGTCATAAATGTAGAGTCTCTATATGACATGCTCATGTGCCATACAGCCCTTCCCAGCAAGCTCAAACTAATTAGCAAAAAGTCTTTTGTGGTTAACGTGTTTAAAATCTTGTTATTTATAATTAAGCATTCATTCACCAAAATAAAAACTCACATTGGTCCAAGTTCCTTTGCTGTACTACAGTAGAATGTAAACTCCAAAAGTTGTAAACAAAATATAGTGAACACTTTGTTCATGACATGTCATGAACAAATTACCAAAATGTGTTGTCTCCTCAGGTGTCAGTTTTTCTCTCTTGCAGTGACTGATGGTTCCCAGTGTTATTACAGAAACAGATTGATCTTTTTAATGAGCTAGTTTAATAGACTCCAAAATCTCACCGTGGCTGCTCATCCGTGTCAGACCATATGCACCAAGAAAACATTCAGTAAAACACAAAGCTCTGCTGTCAGATTGCTCTATAAAACCTCACATACAGTAGACTTGGATATGCAGATAAATAACCAGAATTGGAAAATGCATATGCAAAAAAGGTTCTGAAATTATAAGGAGAAAAAATTACTGTATGTGGATTTTCTTCAACCAAAAGTCACGAGGTGGATGTGGTTATGTGCAACACACACATTCCACTTGCTTTGCCTAATCCCTTACTGTATTTTACCTCTATTGGAATCAACGGTATGCAGTTACCCGTGCCCAAAAGAAAAATGTAAATATGGAAGAACGTGTGTATATATATTTCTAATGTATACGCGTATGTATCATATACACACACATGCATCTATATACGAGATATATATTACATACACATTATATACAATGTCTCTCTCTCATATCCCTTGGGAAGTGAAAAAGATACCACAATTTACTTTACTAGAGACATATCTCCAAACAAGATTATTCCAACTGCATTTAGTTGCCCTAGAAAGATGTTGCCTTTTAGTCATTTTTTTCCATATTCTAGCAACAGTCACAGCAAACCCTTCTCTTAAAGGATACTTCCTATCTTCCGCTGTATTTTTATATTTGAAAACTACTTAGATATCTAAACAAAAGGTATATATATTTCCAGATGTTTCTTCCTGCTCCTCTGTAAACAATTAAAATAATTAATAGTGTAATGAGTATAAAGCCAGACAAGTATTTGGTTTCAATACTTACTCAGTCTAGGCATGCTCTGACTCTGAGGACAGTTTTTTGTGGTTGATTTACTTACGTTATCCAAATTAAAAGGTATGCAAACTCCCATTCAGTAAATTTAAGAATCTTTCCAACAGGATCTTGTTCATTTTACTAAATCTGTAGTGCAAATATTCTTGAGTGCACGAGACAACTCCACTGAATTTGGTTCAGCCAAAACTACTGTATGAGTTTATTTTTTTCTGTATAGGTTTAATCATAGTCAACGGAGAAGTTGGTGTGACTAACCAGTGACAGGGTTGTTTGATACTGCAAAAAACAACTTATTTTTTTAAGCTCAAGGCACCATTCCAGTGGGTGAGCTGGGCAGTCTCTTTCCAGATCTTTCATGACAGCAAAGAACCTCAGGGTCAAAAAAGAAAGGATGAGGTTTTCTGCAATGCCACTTCCCCAGAACTAAGCAGCCTAATTTCAAGCAGCGACAGACAGAAGCTGACGGTTGATAGCTCTGGCACCTCAGAGCACGCAGGCCAGTGGGACACCCCGCATTATAGCCCCTCCCTGGACCCTGGGAATTCAAATGCAGGGTTTTACCCACAACACTGGAAGTTAAACTGTCTACCCCTCACCCCAAAAGCTGCATTACTACCTGGAGAGGAACTGAAGACTCCCTGAGCTGGACGGAGCCTAAGAGAGACTTCAGTTGTGAAGGCAAAGGCACTTGCTCGTGAGCAGAGACTTCTGAGTTTCAAGAGCACCTATGTATTTTAACTAAAAAGAAACACTGAGAACAAAATCCATAAACCAGATTTAAATCTCTCTAGGTCTAGGCCTCAGTTTTAATTAAAAGATGAAGGCTGACTTTAAAATCCAATATTCTTCTGATCTGCTGGTCCCCTTATGGGCTACTCCTATGTCCTTCTTGATACAAGACTAATACGGGGTCTTTTCATTACTAAATTCTTGTACCGGTCTTCACCTGCACCATCCACCCCCTCCCAGGCAACCAGGACTGAAGGTACTATAGGTGAGACCGTAACTATTATAAAATAACCAAAATTCAGCACCTCCAAACTGGGTCTCAAAGGGGGGAAATATTACTCCAGAATGCTAAGGAAAAAAACCAAAGGAAATATTTTATTGCCCATTTTTCCTTTGTGGCCTTTCTTGGAGAAGTGAGTAATACTGCTCTCTATTCAGAGGAAAAAAAGTAAGCTAGGTCTGTCAGGAAGGCATGTCCCTCTTCTCCTCTGTATTCTCTGTCAAGCAAGACCTCACGGGCTTACAAGATAATTTAAAGTGTGTCTGTCTATTTGTAGGAAAAACACCATGTCTGCTACTGACACTGGACTACAGCATGCTGATATTTAAGTTATTCACAAGATGCACAAGGTTTTAAGAGGCCTTTTTAATAGATGCTTTGGTACACCACTCTGCAAAGACGGAGGACATGCAGCAGAACTGCCCCAGGGAGTTGACCCCAAATTTCAGCTTTGGAATGTTCTCTCATGGAAAATGTCTGAAAATTAATCATCTTTCTTGGATGCAGTTAGCAGGTTTGTGTTAACATCAATAGCTGTTAGTCTAGTTGTCAGGAACAAATGGTGAAAAGAGGGTATACAGAAAAGGGCTTCTCTGCTGGTATCTTTATTTTTTTGTGGGTCCATACGGATTTTCCTGAAACACAATCTAAAGCAAAATACTTTCACATTTTCATCTATCCAATGGCTACATTACTTCAATTTTTAGTGCTCACTTCTGGCTCTGAGTAGCTTAAAGTTTTACTATGCAGACATTTTCAAGATCTTGCATCTGCATCATTAATATCTCACTTTCATAATATGCTCAAATATGTGGTGTTGAATTTTTGCCTACCAGCCTCAGGAACTTTCAAACTTCATTTTCTCCATAGGTTTTGTGCTATCACGGCCTGTCCCTACACCAAAATGTCACCTGTACAAACTTGCAAGCCTTCTTGACTTTGCAAATCTTCGCCTTTTTAATTTAAAAGATAACTAGGACACTTGCAGCGCTTTCTGCATGCAGGTAGTGGCATTTGGCAGAACAGCATTGTAAAAGTTTTCCATACTATAAGTCCATGGCAAACAAAACTAAGAAAAATCCAATATTTGGGCCTCCCAAAGGTAACATTTATACGCTAACTGAATTTCTAGCACTATCACGGGAAGACAGTTAAAAATAAATAACCACAAGAGTCATCTTCTTATAACACTAAACAAAGAACTTTATTCAAATAAGAAAAAGAGAAAATTGTTCCATATCCCTAAAGCTACTGTACTTCATACATGTGCACTTGCTTGCCCTGTTTCTGCATGGACCCTTTCTCAGCTTAACAAAAAAAGATTTCAGTGAACATTCCTCCTGTTTGGAAAAAATATCATTATGGATTTGGATATATGGATATGGAAACATGGCACAGCAGAAGGAGTCAAAGCCCTGACTGCACTCCGGAGCTTGCCTTGTACTTCCCAATATGAGTGCCTAGCCACTTTCCCCATATTTACTGTTTAATCCAACAAAACCTCAAATACAAAGGACTTGGATATGGAGCTGGAGTGATTTGCTGCTCATCGCTTTATGCTGCAGAGAAATACTATGCACTAAATAATCAGTATGGCACTGGCCGGCCAGTATTATTTCTATGTAGATATAACCATAGCATGTCCTCAGGCAATTTTGCTGCCTGAGTCAGTGTGTGCATGCACCTATATATCTAGATATACAGATGCATACATATCTGGATATATACATGCATACACACATACACAAAGGTAATTTGGCCACTGCACAGCTGTAACGAGGGCAGGACCTGCACCCAGGAACACCATCCCAGTTCCCCCCAGGCACCCACCCACACGCTCCCCCCTTGCTAGCGGAGCTCGGCACGTTCGACCCACGGGACATTTCTGAGCGGGGTGTGAAAGGCGCGGCGGTGCTCACCTGTCTGGAGTTCGCCTCTTCCCGTTTTCGTTCACATCGAGAAGCAGCTCTGAGGAGTCAACAGGTGAGGTGGTGCTGGCATCCAGAAGCAGCTGTTCGTGCTGGGCGAGGTACTGGGCTGGGTTCTGCTTGGCTAGCCTTGCACAGTGCAGCAGCTCCCGCTGCAGCAGGGGCAGATTGGCCTGCAAGAGCGTTGCACACGTTGAGAGGGTGGCTTGCAGGCAGTTTCAACAGAGATGAAGCAGAAAAATCAGAAATCAAAGGAAAGCCTGCTCTGGGATGAACCTGTTGCAAGCATCCTCAATTAGGTTTGTTGCGGTTAGCTGCCTGAAAGTAGGCAGCCCCCTTACGGGGTCAGGTCATGGCTGTGGTACGTATGCATGGAAGGATGGGAGTTTACTTACGAAAATGGAAAATGCTGTGAGAAAACTAGGTCTGAGCTCCACATCTTTAAAAGGGGAAAAAGCACTGCCCTGGCTGACTTCATCTCCTTTCTTACTATCCAAAACCACAGTTCCTATGGAGCAGCAGTTTTCAACAAGTGACAAACCTTCTTCATTCAATATTTGTTTCCCATTCAGACTGCAGTTAGTACTTAGAAACTGAAACCATAGGAACTATGGCTCTGCAAGTTGCCTCTTGTAATCATCCTTCAAGGGCCTTTGGGAGAACAGGATTGCCCTCAGCTTTCCCATTCAATTTGCAGTTACACATTAAGATAAAGATTACAACAAAATCTCATGGTCCAGAGCTTCAATTAATCACGCAGGGGGCTACAACTCTCCTCCTAGCCAGATGTACCTTGAAGTGTTTTTAACCTTCCTCTCAGGGTCCCACTGGGATTTAGGTCATGGGCTGGAGAGTACCAGGACTCAGACACAGAGAATTGAAAATGCTCATTGATCCCTGGGTGGCACTTTTTACCCATCTACTGGTCATGGCCATAGTAGTAGTAGAAGTATGACTAGTAGTCATACTTCTTGCCAGGTTTGGGACCAAGGTGGAACTGTATGACCTTCCCATCAAAGGAGATGGGAGTTACACATCCTGGGAAACTTCTTCCTTTCTTTGCAGCATATGCACACATCGATACTACGATAGTACAGTCATTTCTTACCTACTTATTTGTGCCATAAGGTGATGTGCCCTGACCTCTCTTGTTCCATGCCTATGGAATGATCCAATGATTTGTTGCCTGGGGATTTTCAAGTATCGGATTAAATTTCATGACCTTTAGTAGCTAGAGATAAGACAAAGAACTCCAATGGTCCCCTTTGCTTTGAAACAACTCCTGGGGTTTTTTTGTTTCGGTTTGGTTTAGTTTGTTTTTTTTAATATAAGTCAAAAAGGTTCTGAAACTAATGTGCAGGGAACAAAGCAAAAAAGGCAGATGTTCTGGAAAGTTTTGAGCAGAGGATCTTGGTAAATTACTCTGCTAGCATTATAACAAATGCTCCAGCACCTGCTGCTGTACCATAAGAGTAGATCCACTGTGCAATAAAAAAATGCCAGACTAGGGTTAGTACATATGAAGTTTTTCAATAGTGAAAAAAAAAAAAACCAGCAATTGCTATCAATTCATCTTAGGATGGGAAGACAGACGATTGTGGAACATGACGTCTTTTCAGACCTCCACACAAATATTTCGTGAAAGTACCAAAGAAATATCTTCTCTCAGTTATTATGTGTCACATTTTTGTCCAGGGCTACCACGTAACAAAGAGAGATATTGAATGCTTTTATGAGCAGGGTTTTTCACTTGTTTTAATTTGATTGTTATTTTTTTTAAAAGCTCACACGGAATCAAAGTCAAGACATCCAACTACCTAAACTGCCTCAACGTGGCAGGAAATGGCAGGACAACACATTTGCGTTCCTTATCCACTATCACAAACAAAAGGGATCTATTTCATACATGGGTGCTCCTGGCTCCTGGAGACAACCAAATTTTGAACTCGCTAGCAAAAACCTTGATTTATTTCACTTGTTTTCCTTCTCCTAAAGAAATGTTCATTCTTGCTCTTTAACCATAAACATGAAGATCTGCAGTTAAAGGTATCCTTTAGTCTAAATGGATTGAATATGTTTTCTGTGCACAGAACAGATGTGTACAACTTTTAATATATTTATTAAACATGGATCTACTCAGTTTCTTAATTTTTTAGAAGTTATTATAGAAAACTATTAATGACATGCCTCATAATTTGGGTTTATAATGGCATCAAGCAATGTTTGGACAAAGACTTAAAACTCAAAGTGAAGAAAAGCAGTATTTGAAAACTTTTAGTTCAACACAACTACTTTCAATCTGCTCAAGACATTATTCTAAACAATCTTTATCAAACCATATAGTAAAAAATAATTGGTTTACTCCAAGAAAAAACATCAGGACCTCTCTATGGCTAGGTCAAGTGTACAGACTGCTGATCACTATGGCCCTGATACACAACAAGAACTAGTTTTTGGGAAGCTGGATGCAGAATGAAGCACCGACATGCTCCCTACCACAAGCGGGGAGAGATCAGGCTCCTAAGGCAACTCAAGCGTACTCATACAGACTCTGAAACCAAAATTGTCTTGGGACACAAAGGCTTATGCAGAGGTTCAGCTCTGACAGTAGAGGCAGTTCTGTCAACGCGCAGTAGCACATTTCTCCCAGCATTGCTGCTGGTGCCTGCAGACAGACTTCCACACCCCTACATGTGAGAGATACAAACCAGTTCTTGACCAGAAGCCAGATATATATGTTAGAAAAACACTGACTGAAAACAAATGTGATATTACTGGCTTACAGTCCCCTAAAATGTTGCACTTCAGTGCCTGGAATATGCTCCTACTCTTGTTTTGGATTGGACCTTATATCCTTATATCAAGATTTATACCTTTATATTAATATTTTATACCTTATCCATATATCAAGATTTAGGTAGTGTCTTAGCCTCCTCCATCAGTTTTATAATCACAGACAGGAAGAAGAGAACATGTTTTTTACCCAGCTGTCAGACCTGTTTTCCACTTTGAAATGAAAACATTATCTCTGCACCTGCAAAAGAAGCTACAGCTCCAAAAGGCTGTTTTATCATTTCAGTGCTCACTCCAAGTAATTAGTTAATAATTTTCCACTGTTGGATATTCCTACTTTCTTTGAAACTTTAGCAACAGAAATATTTCAGTATTATAATTTAAATTTAAAAGGCTTCATTAACTATAGTACAATTAGGCTTTGATGCAAGTTTTTATAGTTGCAAGTTTAAATAATTTACAGACATATTTAAAAAAAAAATCTAAATTGAGATAAATTTTTGTTCAGAGAGCCCGAGTAACTCAAAATCATCAAATCATATATTGATACTGATGCTTAAAACAAATATGCACAGCACGTCTATTGAAAAACAGAGTGTTGGCAGTACTGAACATGTACACCATGTACCACTTAAATTTAATAGACTAAACCCTGCTTGATATTAAT